GAGGCGCATGTATCTGGCCCTATTCTAAGGAAAGGATCATTCTCATTTTACACATTTGGTGAGTAGTAAAGCGTGATTCATCATTACGTTCGTCGACTTATCATCGCATCGTCATTGTGATGTTGATCGTCACATCATTATTGTGTCTTCATCATCATCGGCAGTAAGGTGCTCATCCACATTGTCGTGCTCATTGGCGTTGTCATGCTTATTACAATTGTGGCACTCATCAGGATAGTCACGATCACACTTCTCACGATCTTCCTCTTCACACCGAGGTTTTCTTCTCCTTCGAAGTCTCATTGGTCTTCTTCGACGTGATCGTTATGATAGTGTTCGTGTTGCTTGTCTTCGTGATCTTCGTGATCGGGTTGTTCGATTGGACTTGGGGATAGGGGCGAAAGACTAGTCGAGTTGTCTAGTAGCTGGTTCCCTCCAAAGTTTTCCTCAGGATAGCTGGTGTTGTTCGTCGCATTGTTATTGTTAGCGTTGTTCGTCATGGTAATCGCCATTATCACATTCTCCATTAATATGATCGCTACCATCATCGAGCTCGCCCTCATCATGAGCTCTCTCACTTGCTCGTGCGATTAGTTGAGGTGCTGCTTTTAATAGTGGTCGCCATCGTGTTACTCGACTTTGTGATCCTTACGATCAGACTGATCACCATGCTCGTCATGACCATAACGGTCATCATTCACCTCATAATGGTCCTCGTACTTGGGCACAAATGTGCTCGGGGGTGCGCATGTAGAGAGAGAGAGAGAGAGTGAGAGAGAGAGAGTGAGAGAGAGAGAGAGAGAGAGTATCTGCTAAGAGGAGGCATCAGACGCATGTACCTTCCTATATTTTAGTGAAAGGTTCATTTTCTCTTCTTACATTCACGTGCAGCAAGGTCCGAATACAGTAATGGGGGATAGCAACGGGTGTATCTGCCAGGGAGCTAACACATTATAGCAGAAGATTCATTCTCATTCTGCACATTTGGTGGGTAGTATCGTAGTGGAGTACGGACATCGTTGCTCCTCACGTTTGTTTTCGTGGTCGTCATCGAGGTTGTGGCGATCCACACGTTGTTCGTGAATGGTGGTCATCATACTCATCCTAGTACTTAATGTTGCCATTGCACTACTCGTTAAGCTTATTGTTGGTGGTCAAGTATTGCCTGTGGTGGTAGCGTTGCCCGATGTTGTCCCTTGTGTCTATCATTTGCATGGTGTGCTCTGTCCCAGAGGTCCCCATTTCAATGAGCTGGCTTTTTCTTAGTTTTGGATCAAATTTGGTCGTATCAGAAGCCAGATGCATTCATACTGCAACATTTTACTTCATTAGATATGGAGTTTTTTTTTTAGATAGGCAAAGGTGATGGTGATGTTGGTTTTTGTATTGGGATAGTGGAAAGAAAAACAAAGAGCAAACAGATAGTCGAGATGGAAAGGAGTGAACAGAATAGTGGCGACAAAGAAAGAGGGTCTTGAGGATGGTATAGAGCAAGCCACTGAGTTTTCTGCACGGTTATCAAAAAGTGTTAACTTATAGATTACGCCCAGTCTTTCGTTGACCTAGTTAAACACAAGCAATACCAACCGTTTCCCCGTTTTCCACCTTTCCCTCAATCTTTTTCTCTGCTTTGATACAAATATCTGAAGTTTTACACACATTTTACTTAATTAACTCTCATATTAAATTTTGAAATAAAATCAACAAATAATAAGTAGCTTAGTGATTATTCGGACAACGACAAGATAGTACGGCTAACAGAATACGAGATCATAAGTATAAGATATCCATATACCTGAGTGTTCCCTCCTTCCAGAAACCCCGCATGACCTCCGACATAGCTCCCGCAATCGGTGAGCAAATCCCCCATAGGGTCTTGATGCAGTCTTGTAGGTTGGAATCCCACCTGCCGCCTTCCTCTTCTAAACGTCAGAGTAGACTGAGAGTAAGAAGAGTAAAGGAAGCAAAGTTAGTCCCTCAAGGTTAAGAAAAATTCACTCAGACTCTCGTGGAGAGGTCTTTGTTACCTTCAAATCTCGAAGACCCCGTAATGGTGGCCAATAACATGTAGGTCCTCCGATAGCGATAGTACCAATGATGATTGCAGTAGTTATTCCAAACAAGAGCATTTCATCGGTGCCGAACACTGCAGCAATTACTACCTGAACGCATGTCAACAGTGGTCTTAATGAGGGTATTGCGGTAATAGTCAGAGTGTAACAACAACGGTCCACCCCTACAACAATAGCAGTTGAAGACTCAACTGCAGCAGCACTTCAAGCCCCGGTAGCAGTTGATGGCACAGTAATACCGCCTCAATGCACAACAATATCTTTTCAGAAAATGTAGTAATCATATTTGGGTACACGGAAAGAGTGGCACCTCATTTCGTAGCAGCAGTCAACACTTCAGCAGAAAGATGGAATGACGATTCATGCAATCATGGCATGTGAGCCGCTTGCTATGACTAAAATCCACAACACTTTGAATCGGGAACCCGCTCCTGTTAAAGAGTTGTAGCCCTTGGACCTATAATTCGCATGCTTGAGCAGGAACAATACCACTATCCTAGCCTAATGGACGTATCAATAGTTTGGTACCGAAGATCGTTGTTGCTGAGACCTCGCAACAACTTGAATAACAATAGCTAGGATCATCAGAAGTAGAAACCCCGATATAAAAAAATCGGTAGCAGTTTAAATAATTTATATTGCAACGACCTCGGTCATACCCGATAGTAGTCAAACAGCCACCTCTAAAAAAAAAAAAACAGTTGATTCCTTCTAAGTAAAGACCCAACATCGATGACCCTTCTGGCGGCAGAAAATCCCAGCTCCCCAATCTCTATTGCCTCATCTGCCCTCTCATTTGCCTGCCCTGCCTCTTGCGATCTCTGGTGGGCTGCCTCCCTTCGATCCTCATATCTGGCCCACAGCTCATCAATCCTCTGCTCACTTGTCTTAGGGTCAGTTGGTGGCATCGGCGCTATCCCTGCAGCCTCCATCCTGTCTCTTTGCTCATGTAACTCTGCGAGGCGGGCCTGTATCCTGGCAGACTTTGCCTCTGCAACCTCATCTGGCACCCTCTCCGCTCTCATTCCCCGGACTTCCCTGGTTGGAGCCTGCGTGCCCCCCTCTGGCTCAACGTGCGCTGACCCAGGTGATGGCCCAACCGGAATAGGCCCCTCAATATCAGGGTGCTCAGCTGCATGCGCGGCTAGGTGCGAATCAATGACTATGCGGGACTCAGTCCTCCATCCCTCTTCTGGTCCCCGCACCTCAACCTCCTGTCTGAGTGACATAGTGGCTTCTGGCGGGGGTACTGGAGTCTCCTGGTTGTCTGGCTTCGGGACTCCATCTGGCCAAGACTGCCACATCTGGATTGGAACTGGGGTGCAAGGGGGAGTATCACCCTCTATCATAATAACCTCTCTAGCTGATAACTCCTTCTGGCCATGCGGCTCAGCCTCCGAATCCGGGCGAGCCGGCTCCTCTCCCGATGGATCCATTAGGCCCACTCCTGCTGAAGGGGCCTCCCACTGGGAAGCATCAAGATGGGCTTCCAGACTCCTGAACGGTGTTGCTGATGACTCACCCTTCCCTTGCTCTGATAATCACGGCGAAGGTCCCCATAGGTCACTCCCTGTAACCTGACGGAACTCCACCTGCCCAAGTCCACAAGTAGGGAAGGACTCTGTCGCCCGAGTAAGTCTTGCTCGCCCTCCTTCTCGCTGTGCCAAAGCCTTCCGGCCTCCCCTGGTCGCAATTGACTCTCTTGGCTCCAGATCCCTTAGCCTCTTGCTTCATCGCCTCCTATCGACCCTGGGCTCTGGCCTGCCTGGTTCTGGCCGCCGAAACGCCTCCCTTAATTGGGCCTGGCAATCCTCCCAATTGCATGCCCGATCCCGGATTTGTCTCGTCAGTAGTCGCTCCGCCTCTTTGGTCCAAATGAGTAGAGTCTGCATCCACTCGTCTCTTTGAACCCCTTGCTCACTCATATATTGCTCATAGGCCGGAATGAATTCTTTCGCATTCCCTTCCTCCAGGCGAATAGGTAGCCCATCACGCCTCACAGGCGAAGCCCTCAATCTCTGCATCCTTGCCTCTACCTCTGGCCAGGTCAACGCCTCCTCACTTATTTGTGCGATAGGCTCCTCAAATCTCCCAATCCCTCTCAAATGTCGTATCCTCTCAAATACGTCCCATCCTCTCTGAGTCGCATGATCCCGGTAGACGTCTAGGAAGAGTTCGATGTTGTCATCATCAAATACGGGTGTAGGCTCTCTCCTGAAGGGTCATGCCGCTCTCCCCCTCCGGATGCCCCGAGAGGTCTCTGTCGTGGCTGTGTGTCCCTCCCGCCTCTCTGCATGGCTGTCTTCAAGAAGTCAGACCTGCACATCAGGTGGAAAGAAGCAAACAGGCACACAACAGGATCAACATACAGGTTCAACAGCCTTAGAGCAAACACACACCCAATCTCAGACACACCAAACCCCTCCTTCTTTCTATCCGGCCTAGCCATAATCTGTGATACTTAGAACGAGAGTTTATTTAGAAAGGGATTGTAGCTTTACCTATTCCCTGGCCATGAACTTTTTTAATCTTGTCCCGGATACCCAAACTTTTCATTCCGTTCCACTCAGCTCCTCGATCTGATAAGCCCCAAATTCGGCGCACCGCACTATCCTGTAGGGCCCCAACCACCTTTTGTCGAGCTTCCTCGACCACTGTTTTTCCAAGGAAGAGTCGTATAGTAATACGATGTCTCCAACTGTCAAAGGTTCTTTCCTCACTCGCGCCATCTGATCCCACCGCATCTTATCCTCCATTCGACTCCTCTCGGCATGCTTGGAAGCCTCGTGTATCCTTTCCTCAGTCGCGCCCACCTGCCGTGCCCAAATATCGAGCAACTCTTCAAACAACACGTTCGTCTCCAAGTCTTAACGCCTCCAAGTCTTCAGGAAGCTCTCGATGGGGAAGGTGGCATGCCTCCCATACCACAGAGTGGCAGGCGCGTACTTGGTTGTCCTCTTTACCGTGACGTTCTCTACGAAGAAGGCTGCTCGCAGAAACTTTGGTCACTGGCCGGGTTTGCCATCCGTCCATTTGGCTAGGAGATTCGTGATGGTACTACGCCCCCTCTCCACAGGTGCATTTGCTTGAGGGTGCGCAACGGTAGTATAATTTGCCACGACGCCATATCCCGCAACCAAAGTCTGCACCTCGTTACAGGTGAACTCCGCTCCTCGATCCATCACGAACTCTTTGACGAAAGGGTAACACAGATAATACTCTTCGATACAGCTGGTCAAAATTGGGTCGGTCTTCGTGCGAATAGCTCGCTCGTCCACAAACTCAATAAGGTTATCTCGTGCATCAAAAATGTAATTACACCCGTTCTCCCCAGTCGGCATGAAGAGTAGATCCAAATGTACGACTGCACCTACCTCTCTTTCCAGCCTTGGGTGTAGGGGTTCCCCTGGTCTTCGCGCCGACCTCTCTTGGCAAGGGACACAAGATTGGGAATACTTGATGACCATGCTCAGCACCTCATCCCAATGGTATAGTTCGCTTATCTTTGCACATGTGGCACATATCCCTTTGTGCCCTCCTGCTATACCATCATGTAACACCGCTATAATACCGATTTGTCGGTTCCTCCCGCATACAATCCGCTTGGGGTTCCCGACTTGTCGTTTGATGAACAAATGGTCATTCCTCACCGCATAGAGATGCCTCATCTTTTGAGCTTTAACGCTTTCATCTCGGTCCCTCATTTCACAAGATAGGAGTCGGCCTAGCTCAAGATAGATCCCATCATACTCCTCTGCCCGAAATGCCTCTTTAATCTCCCCTTCTTCGAACTCATCGTCCTGACTCTCAGAAACGAGGTCCTCACCCTCAACTAGACTTAAGGAGTTTTTTCGGTCAAAGTCTCCTTGCAGAAGCGTATTCGTGAGCAGGTACATCCCTCCCATTAACTGCTCATGCTCCTTTATCTGAGTAGGGTCCCCCTCTATCGTTCTCACCTCCTCCACCAAGTCATGTGTACCTGCCAATGCCAATTTCATCATCCAGTGAACATCCTTGTCCCCCCATGGGTCCTCCTCCTGAAACGGCTTGAGGACTAAATCTGCCTTCTGCTCATACCCTCTCGGCGTTATCCATATGGGGTGGCTGACACAGTTGGGCACTCGCAAGGACCACTTGTTTATATGGAGGCGGACGTCTTCTTCCTAATACGGGAACCCATCAACTGATGGAGTATCTTCAGTCGAAACCTGATTTAAGTTGTCCCAGTTAACGCGGCTTAGGCCATCGGCCTTGTTCTTGTTCCTTGGAATCCTTTCCAACTCAAAGTTAAACATCCAAATGTACCCCAACCATCGAGCGATGGTTGGGTCAGATGGAGTATAATTCTTCAGAGAACAGGCAAGCGCCATGGGATCTGCCCTCAATATGAACCTCCTGCCGAAAACATAGTTCCGGAAGATCCTTAGGCAATGGAGTACCGCGAGTGTCTCCTTTTTAAACCGAGAGTAGTTTCTCTCAGTCGTATTAAGAGTTCGGCTTTCAAACCTTAGCGGCCTCTCCTTTCCTTCAGTATCCGCTTGAATTAAGACTCCTCCCAAGGCAGTCGGCCCAGCGTCTGTCTTGATGATGAAAGGTTTTTCCTTTGTCCCTTCATAGTTTGGCGCCCCCAATACTTATCCGCCTTCTTTGAATTCCCCCTTCATCCGGGTTACTGCTTCTTCCTGATATTCACCCCAAACCTACTCCTGATCCTGACGCACTAACCTCCTTAGATGTTCGGTCTTGTCAGCAAAGTTCTTCACAAAGCTCCTCAAAAATCCGCAGGTGCCAAGAAAGTTTCTCACATCCGTTATAGAGTGAAAAGGTACTGGTCATTCTACGATTTTGTCTGTCTTCTTCACATCCGGCCTCCGACCGTTCTCATCACAAACAAAACCCAGAATGGTAGCTTATTTCATGCAGTGCTTGGACTTTGGACCACTTGCCGTAAGATTGTATTCCTCTAGTAGGCTCAGGACTTGGTCAAGGTCCTGGATATGTCTCCAAACGAAACGCCTTACTCCTGGCATCACTTCATCCTCCTCTTTCTCTTGCGGGCCTTTGACTGCCAAATCGTCAATATAAGATTAAGTAATGTGCAGACTGACTGTCTGCATGGCCCTGATCATGTGTCTTTGCACCATGGTCACTGCATTTGTCCAACCTTGTGGGGCCACATTCATATGAATTAGCCCCCTTGGTGTGTGCATCGCTGTTACTGGCCTATCGGGCGGGTACACAGGGAATTGGTTATACCCAGAATAGAGGTCTATAAGCGAAATTATAGGTCTCCCCGCGCATGATTCTGACAATGCATCTGCGTTCGGCAAGCCTCCTGCATCTCGCACTGTCACCCCATTCAACCGCTGCAAGTCTGTACCCACCGTAGCTTCCCGTTCGACTTAACAAAACAGAACCAATGGGATGCATATGGCCCGCTAGAGTAGCCAGCAACATGCGTATGCATCTTACCATCCAGATAGTCCACCACCATTTTTTCCTCATCAGGATTCGGGTATCGCGCGCCCCTTAAGTTCCAAGGTTCGTGGGGGACGGTGTGGATCCGAATCATTGGAATTTTGTCCACATCTAGTCTCCCACGCTGATCATCATTGAAGGCGTACGCGCGATGCCTCTCCTTCATTAACTGCACCATCAAAGTCTTCTCTTGGGGTGAAAGGAAACCCTGTCACCGAGTCGAACACGACCGTGGGGTTGTGGGCTGCCACTGCGGTCATGTTCGTTACGATGACAGCGACCGTCATCGGTTTGAACACGACGGTGAGGTCGGGGGTCGCCACCGTGGTCGTGTTCGACTCGGTGATAGCGACCATCATCGTATTGAACACGACGGTGGGGTCATGTTCAGCACGTGGTGTACACGCCCGCGCTCAACCCGTCATCGTGTCGAACACGACGGTCGTCGTGTTCGACTCGATGATGGACGGCTCTGTGAACTGCGGGAGAGATTTTGTTGAAGTCCTGAAAAACCAGGAATGACGAATAGCAGTAGTGGATCGGCGGGATTGGGGGGTTTGGCGGGGGAGCGGGGGCGGCGAGGATTCCGAACTCACCTGGGTTAAAGAAGGCACGAATCGGAGCAGCAATGCAGCTACCGTGGCGGAGCAACGCAAATTATGGCAGTGTACATTTCCATGTTCTAGCGAAAGATTCACTCTCATTATGTACATGTTGGGAAAAAAAAAAAAAACA